GAATGACTGAATGACTTATCTATTTGTCTAAAGCAACATCATTGATCCGCTGGCCGTTCTTGTCTTTGTGGAGAAGGTGGTGGCGGAGGAGGTGCAAGTGCATCAATTGGAGGAGGAGGTAAGGGATCCCTCACCTATTTCACCCTCTTTCCTCACTACGTAGAAGCTGTCATCTAAAATATGAAAGGGAAAAGTAACTAACACAGACTAAAATGTTAATATATACAAACCATTATACTTATAATGACTATTTGTAAAATTATAGGGCAATGGATTACTATTGTAGGATATGAATTAATTTATAATGCACATATCTCACCACAGTCATCAATCATAATCACTTTATCATCATCGTCGTAAGCTCACCAAACTACAAATCCATTGTCTATCCATGAATTGAAGTCAAATCACTTTTAGTCCTATTATTGAGCTGCACATTCTGACACATTTCAATAGGTTGGCATAATAAAATATATGTAAAATTGTTTAGACAGACATATAATATGATATGAAAACTAGCATGCTTTCAGCATATACATGCACAATACTTCATATTCATCATTACTATTCAGATGCAATAATACTTTTGACTAGAGGTAGCATGAATACTATGTCATGTTAAATTGCAAGTATTAAATACAACATACGCACTTGAAACTTTGGTCTTGTACTTAACTAATCTCAAGCTTGAGCACCTTTAATCCTGAAAATCAAGAAAGTATAAGAATTTCATACAACAAAAGTAAATCTGCATCAGAGCATAATATAGAAATTTTAAAAGTTGACTAACCAACTGTAGATGTTCAATCAATTTACTAGTTCTAGTTTCCTATCCTCCCAACAAATGATTTTGGCTTTCTATATCCCATCAATTACAAATTAATTCAAATCTTTTGTTCTCTTCCTCCATTGTAAAGCACTTGAAGGTACTTTGGGTAGAATATCTAAATCTCTTAGCATGCCAATGTTAAACTACATTTTGCTCCAACAAGTGACTATGATGTAAAATCCAATCCGATCCCAAACTTGGCAGGTTAAAAAGATGGGGAACATGAAATCTAAATTTAAGCTTGCATAATGCATGTCCAACACCCTAAAAATGAAATACGTTCAAGAAAGTGGCAAAGCCAAATTCAGCCCTCATTGTTCTAGTTCCTTGAGATTTTCAAAAACACCCCATGTAGCCTGCAATACAATGCACCAAATCACATAATAAACCAATTACAGAAGGGCAACGGCACAGCGCCGTTGGCACTCTCATGTTTAACTTTTGACGATACATATATTGCGTGTATAAAAATTGTAAAATACTTAGTTTGAAGTGCTAAAAGCATTGCACTTAATAGATAGGTAAATAAATGTGTGGGAAAGAGGAAGAGTACCATGACAAAAGGTGTTTCAGTGATAAATAGAATAGGAAACCCTCTAAAGAATGCGAAGGGTCATCTAGATTTTAGAATCGTACATAATACTAAAATTGTACTTGTACCTGAACTAACAAACACCAAAATTTAATCAATTCAATCAAACTCAAATTAGTTAACAAAATATTATTTTGTTTGAGAATTTTATTAGACGATATGGGGTGACTGATGCTGCATACTGAGTGGCTGATGCTGCATATAATTGATGCTGCATATGAATATTAGACGATATGGGGTGACTGATGCTACCAGATTTTATGTTTCCTCTTTCCATGGGATTCTCTATTAAGTCTAATCCCTTAATTTGAGAAGATTGACATCTAGATGACTTGTTGATAGTTGTGTGGTAGCTACTTGCTGCACTCCCTTAATTTAATGAGTGACAGCTTTAGGGTTTATCGGGTTAGTAGGATTTGCCAAGGTAGGGTTGCGTGTAACCTTCTACCTCATTATATATCCCCCCCTTGTACATTCAATAAATCTATGAAAAATACATTCAAACAAACTTAAAATTTCCACAAATTTACTCTGTGGTAGTCTACATGTTGAAAAAATAGTTACACGAAAAATGGAGTAGTTCCAGTTTTTTTTTTTTTTTTCGAATATTGCAACTAGTATAATCTTCTTCATCTACCAAAAACTATTCCTCCTCTTCTTTTTCTTTTGTTCAGTTCTTCTGTTTGCCCCCTTTTGTTCTTATTTGTTATGGTGTAGTAGGACATGATAGTTTTTTTTTTTAGAAGTGGATTTGTGCTATAGCTGAGATGTTGTAGTTTTTATCCTACCTCAGAGAATTAACTATGCAACTAATCAATAGCTTAAATAGCTGCAATAATTGTGTTCTAACTAAATTAGAAATAAGAAAATTACAATTTAACAAATGATAATGTTCACAGATGGCCATCAACGACATTTCAAAGAGAAAATAGAAAAATAACAACCATTATTCATTGATTTTCAAAGGAGAAGGGAAATTGATAACTAGGTGTCTAAGCTTGGCAAACAAAGACTGATTGAAGAAGAAAATCCAAAAACAATTAAATAAATAAGTACCTTGTTGTCAATTGAGAGGCCGAGGGAGAGAGACGAATGAGAGGTGGTATGTGGTCGCCATTGATGGCAACCACCAGGTGGCTGGTCGGCGAGGCGGGGTGAGAGAGTAGAACCAAGGGGAGCTGAAAGAGATGGGGTGAGAGAACAGAACGAAATAGGTTATTATTTTTTAGGGAAAACAAAATAGGTTATTAGGTTTTACAATTTGGGAGTTTTGACATTATTATTTCAATATTTTTAATTTTTACTTTTAATATTATAAGTGATGAATTGACTATTACGTGGCCTACTCTTTATATAAGTGATGAATGTAAAAATTTCATCACATATTAACATTTCGTTTGGCGGTAAAATTTCCCGCCCAATAGTTTGTGATGAATTCAAAATGTTTATGTGACGCAAAATAATTTGGTGTTTGTGAAAATCTTTATGTGATGATTTCTAAAAAAGCCTCGCTCATTTTAGCAAATGTGATGAATTTTTAGACGCCACAAAAAATACCGTCACCTAATCCATGTTTTTTTGTAGTGTTTGGTAAAAGATGAACCACAAATGTACGTTAAAAGAGGCAACCGTGGGGACACTACTTGACAAGAATAATTTACATGCAGAACAATAAATCTACAAGATGTTGAGACGAGTATTATTGCATGTGATTGAATGATGTGAATCTTGTATTGCTCTATATATTGTTACATAATTTTGATCAAGTTGAATGTTCGCATTCTAATTAATGGCAATTTTATGAAAACAAAATCGTGGATTAACATATGTTGAGCATGAAGAGTGAACAGGCCAATGTAATTTAGGAGAAACAGGCAAGGCAACATCGACCAGATGTGCGTTCATGCGTGCATTCTCACTGCATATACGTTCAAGACAAGAGTGGTGACTACTGAGGATACCAACAACAATTGCCAGATCTTTCCTTTTTATGTATTACAATTAAATGTGTTGGGCACTTTTGAAGGAGGTTGACATGATGGTAAGAAGGGAGAGGGCCCAAGAAGGGAGAGGGCCCAAGAAGGGAAAGGATCCTCACCGGATCCTTTTTCTAGGGATTCTGTGATCTTATCCGTTCATCATATATCGTACGGTAAAAAATTATTTCAAAATTTAAAATTAAATATGAATAGTATTAACGAAAACTGACTGCACGATATATGATAAATGGGTGAGGTCATGGGATCCGACGAGGATCCTTTTTTGGCCCAAGAAGAAAAAACGACGGTGTCTACGGTTTCTTTAGTCTACATCTCCATCTATCATAAGAGCAGAGATTTTTCAATGTGATGGGTACACGGAGTAGAACACCACATGTTACTATACAAATGATTGGATATGTGTGATGAAAAGTTAATAACTTAAAAAATAAAATTTCCCACCACATATATAAAAATATATGGTATACCACCCGTGTTCCGAGAGATTTTTGTAGGAAAATAATAACCACATGTCCTACGACGTGTGATCCTCGTTTCTTTTTTCTTCTACTCTCCCCTTCTGTTAATAAACATAATTAAGCAGATGTGTACATAATTTATGAAATTACAAAAATCACTTCCCTTTTAAAAGATCGCAACTACCGCTTAGTGCTTGCTCATGGTCCGTGTCCAAAATATTATTGGTCTTCCAATTTATAAAGTCTTGTGACAAATTCAAAGACTCTTGTCTACCTTTAATAACAAATTCAAAGACAAACGAATCGACAAAATGAAATGAAATGATTAGTTAAAAATTATAAGACCTAATATTTTATGTTAAATAACTATAGAGGAAGGATTTCTACCTCTTAAAGGTTGTTTGACGGGTCAATTTGAGATGCTTTTGGCCTCGTTTGGAATGAATGATTGAATTAGAATGGACGACTCTTTATGAAAATGTATGTTGAGAAGAGAAATAAAAGATAAGAGATAAATTACTCGTGAATGAAACTTATTCATTCTAGTCATTTTCAATTTGGTAGGGTTAGAACTTAGAAGAGATGTGTTTTCTTCATATCTAATTCTCTTTTAGTCTTTCAAAAGTGAGTTATTTATTCTAATCTAATCCAACATACCAAACAAGCCTCATTAGTAGAGGCCCTCCCTAAATCGGAATGCTTATGTGTATTTTATGAGCGTGTTTTGAGTTCTTATGCAAGAAATACTTTTAGAAAGCGCTTTTAACTTCTGCCAATTGCTATCAGAAGAATTTTTATTGATATAAAAAGAGAGAATTGTTATTGGCACTCCAAATTTCTCATTCTACACTCCAAACTTTATATATTTAGAAAGAAAAATACTCTTGTGAGGAGTGTAGAATAAGATTTTTGGAGTGCCAATAACATTTCCCTAAAAATATTTTTAATTATTTTAAACGATGTGATAGTATTTAATAGTCTAAAAGCACTTTTAAACATACAAAAAGTAATTAAATTTGATTTTAATTTTCTATGGGCAAAACCTAAGAACATATTGTGGGCTTAGATTCACTGTGGCAATGTCGTTCGGAGATTGAGAATGGGCTACTGACCTAGGTCTTAAATAAGAAAGCCCAAGTTTAAGGAACTGGTCACCCTTTTAGCCTTTAGCGCGGCTGCTGGCGGTGGACGACTCCACTGTTGGCTGCGGAGTGCGGAGCGAGTGGGAATGTTGAGGTTGAAGCCAAATCGCATCGGAACCTTCACTACCACTGGTAAAAAGGCTTCTCTCTCTCTCTCTCTCTCTCTCTCTCTCTCAGCCATTAGCTATTACTTTGGCTTCAAAACTCGATAGAATAGATTATGATTTCTAAACATTCATTTCGTACTTTACAGGCGAAGAGCTCCTCGTTTCATTCGCAGCAAAGCTTCTTCGGTAATTATTCCGAATCTGACCTCAGTTTTTTAAATCCTTATTTATTTATTTTTAATGAATCTTTTTCAAGGCGTGGCGTTGCATTATTTGATGCATACTTTCTGAATGACAAATCTGTAAATAAACATAATATGGGAATAGCAAAACTTTAATGATTGTATGGTTGACATGGTTTCTAATTTCTGTTTAAGCAATGTATGTAGTTCTACTTCCTCAGAATTGTCAGGTTCAAAGGGAGTATGTTTCCACAAAATTCGTCACTTGTTATACATTGAAATTTTCACTTTTGACGTTTTCACTTCTGTCAAGTGTCAACCACAACGATGAATTTGAATTCCACTGCCTTTTCTACTTGAGTCATAGCTTGTCAGTTTCTGTTTGAAGCTTCTGAAATATATTAACTTATTGTTTCGATGGAAGATGTCATGCCACCATAGATTTTTCTATCAACCCATTATCCGCGAGGAATAGGGCTTTATCTTGCATAACAACGTTCCCCCGGTCTTTTCATTCTTCAACTTCTGAAGATGACACCTTCTCCGAATTGGGCTCCCCAATGCCTAAAGCTCCAACTCATGCTCGGAAGTTGAAGTTGATGACGGAGAAGCCTGAGCCTTATTTGGTATGTTCATAATGCCCCAACCTCGTACATTCATTACTCTGTCTTGTGTGCGTGTGATTGCATTTGGCTTCGGTTTTGTTACTCAGAACGCATGTGCACTGTAGATATATTACCTCTGCTTGCGGTTTCATGAATATTGCTGAAATGAAACATGCCATGTGTTCTTACAAATTCCATCTCAAGCAGAAAACTAATCGTACGAAAAGACCTTCTCGAATGCCTTCAGAAAGCCGCATCAGATTGAAAGATAATTCCTCAAGACTGGGTAACTTTGTCCAACCATTTCATTCTACATTGACAGCTGCAACAATAACAACAATATTTATTTATACATTGAAAAAAATATGACCTTCCCATCTGTTACTATTGTAGTGAGAACATATCTGCAATCAACCTTCCCTATTAAAAGAGGCCTTGCCCACTTTTACGAATATGTCATATACCTTGTCGTTTACCCTTGAACTGTTGAATAACCCCTATAGTCCCTTTCCATTTTCCATGGTTTCGGGATAATTATTTAATGCCCATGCTTCAAAAGAGCAGGTTCGGATTGGGAGGTTGTTGTACGGAGTTTTGGTCGTTCAATTGATCCACCGGAGGAGGAAGAGGAAGTTACCATTAGAATTACCAATATAAATTCGGAGACAACAGACTCTGCAGTGCACTCAATGTGCACGTCTTGTGGTAGCTTAGAGGGGCTTGTGAGGACAAAAGAAGATGCAGTTGACGCCTTGTTTAGTGTGAAAGACAAGGCAGGCATAAAAAGCATAATCAAAAAGTAAGAAAATACTTACATTTCTTTTCTTGATTGCGTTTGCATTGTACCTTCATCAATAGCATTGCATTTCTATTTTTAATCTGGAAACTACTGGACACATACAGATATGACGAGTGTCTGTCATACTCTTTTCTCCTTGGAATTTTTGTATGTATAATATCATGTATTTTTGCTTGTGTGTATTCGGATGGAAGAGTGAAGAGTGCATTACAGTAATTGTTGAAGTCTAGATGGTCCACTAGATAGAATTTTTACCTTATTAATTGTTTTGAGGTATTGTTTTTGTTTTAATGAATAGTTTCCCATGCTTAGTTCTGGTATTTTGTGGCCATGGATGTCAGATTGAATGAGACGATGGTGAACGGTCACAAGTGGTCAGCTGATTTACATGGAAGAGACTCCTCCGCTGAAGTGAGGAGCAAGCAAAGCAATGCTAACTATGATTTGAGATTGGAGATAAGCCGTCAACTGGCGGACGTAAGAAGGGAAGTCACAAGGAAGACGGTGTGCATACAAGACTTGGAGTGTCTGCATAACTCCTTGTTGCACCTTGAGGGGGAGGCTCATCCTCACACCACCCACACCCGCTAGTATTCACGACTGACTTTGGCAAATTATACCCCCGCCCCCGACCCCCTACCATAGTTTTAGTAAATGCATTACATATTAGCAGAGTTACGAATAGATGCCGAATTTGTTTGGTTTATGATTAACAGGACTGACCGGCCACACGTTCTTGACGTTGCTGACCCAAAACTAGAAGGCTGCACGTACTTGTGACCGAGGCAATATTTTGTACGGACAGAGGGTTATGGATAAATCAATTATCATATTATTTTCTTTAATCATCCATTGCCATTCAATCATTGCTCTAGTTAGCTTACAATTGGGGGCGAAATGAGAATCGTAATCTTACTTGACCAGCTTAACACTGGGAAATGATTAATTTACTTTACAATAATCTCACGACCGTCACGACCGTTAGATAAGCTGTCCCTAGCACAAAGGAAACAAAGTAAAGGAATAAACCATTCACCTTCTTCCACATAACAGCAAGGTAACCGATTCTCCGCCTGTTTAAAATTCTTCGACAATGGCCATTTTCCCAAGAAAGAACCCCCGACAGGTGGCAAGAAAATATGTGACTTTATGATGCCCCTCTCTTCATTTAAAACAAAGGGAAAGCCTAAGTTCTCATCTTGCACTCCAGATTCTGCATATCAAGCATGTATCTAACATCACTGAAGCAAGCACTTAATCTGCAGAATCAATCCCTTTCACATCCATATCCAACATCCTGCATGATTTCTCTTGTTTAAAATCAGGCTCTGTGATACCCATAGAAGAACACCCTGCAATCGGATATTCCCTCTCATCAACTAAAGACTTCATGTAGGAACATGGCTGCTCTTCAGCTTCAATATTGGATACAGGCTCTTGCCCTGAACCAAACTCCAACTCGTAAGACGGAGGGCCAGCAGGTTGTGTTCTCATTTGCACAGACCGCAAGAGTGCAGCCCTCCTTAAGTCAGCTGAGTGACAAATATCACTAGGTGATGACGGGAATCGCCCCTCTGAATCAGAGCCTCGCTGACGAGGCTGGGAGCTGTTGAAATTAGTGACAGTGCAGCCATGTGAAGTGCTCGGACAGGTGGGAGGAAATTTTTGGTACCTATAAGGAGAGACGGGACTAGAGGGAACACTATCAGGTTGGGAGGAGCAAGTATTTATCGGGTTCTCACAAAATCGAGAGTCATCTGAGTCCTCTGACATTGGTGAATATTGTAAGGACATCTCATCCCTGGAAGCATAAAGTTGTGAAAACATAATGAAAAATCAGATCTGCATAATAAAGGAAACACAATTTTCTCTTTATCAGGAAGAATCAAGATGGAGAAAGCATGCACATGATTATTAAGAGAACTCCTGTTTAATGTAATCTGGAAAACAATGACTTGAAGGTTCCCTAGGAAGGGGAACACCCGAGGCCCAATCAAACAAAGAGAAAAAAATTGACTTGAAGGAAAGGAGATAAAATTTGGTGAAGGCATACTAATGCCTTATATCTGGCTATACAATACAAATACAATTCAAGTTGTTAACTTCTGTGGCAAATCAACAATTACCCCACACTATGCAAATCTATATTGGATGACTGAAGACAAAAATGAAAATTTTAAGCAGCCACATGAAGTACCAAACTCACCTTTTGGTTTACCACTTAAGCAAAAGGCCCAAAGTAAGACGGTTAAAAGTACGATTACACTCTTTCAAAAGGAAGCTTATACGAGTGCATCACGGCCACATCCACTCGAAACTATACAGTCTATACCATCAGATGGCCTATTCTGTTTGAGTTGTATGATATCACCAACAAACCAAATTCGGGGAAAAAAATAAGAACAGAATAGGAAATAAGTCAAAGAAAATACAAAACGTTGAGTGCCATAACCCAAGAAACCATGAACACGAACCTGTAGTCCTAAGATGTTTTACAGGCCTCGTGTGGTCTATCGGATTGGATTAGATTTGAATAACTCATAAATGCAAGATATGTTTATGTTTACGCAAAAAAGAGGCTGAACTAATATAGAAAGATGCAATAGCACCTATGACCTGTGAAACTAGGCAACTTAAAACATACAAAGTCTAAATGTGAAGCACAAGGTTATCATAACAATGAGTGAATGACGGAGAAGAATGGCAGTTAGTTATGTATGCGGAAGGAGTATTTCATTTGAGAAGGTTCCAAAAGCATATGACGATGTTATGGAAAGTGATTGACAAGTTTGATATGAGTGTGAAAGAAGAAGTAACCTTGGATAAAACATGGTATCAGACTGTGCTGGAGATTCCATGAGATTGTCAGGGAGAGGGAGTGGGTCTCCAACAGTGAGTCCATTCAAACTAGATGCCATAATCTGCACTAGTGCAGTGCACAACAAACAAGTGAGTTATGAGCGAAATGAAGGACTAATTTCACTTGAAACACTAACAAAATAAGGCCTCGTGAATGAATTCAATTCTGATGGAAATGAATGAGAATTCAGAGGCAGTAGATTTTCATTCTTGAAAGGAAAAGGAAGATTCTTTAGTTTCATTCCATTAAATAAAGTAAAGAAATTGAAAGAAAAAGAAAAGAAAAGGAAACCTCGCTGAGATAACGCTTGTGAGAGTGGAAATTGTCGAGGTAAACCTCATCTCCAGGATCTCTGCTCCGCTTCCCAGATGGAGATGGTGAAGAAGACGATGAAATTGATGCAGCCGATGCATTTGCAGATGACGAAGATTCTATCTCTTGGCCACCACCACCACCTCCTGCTCCTCCGCCTCCACCCCCGCCCGATGAGCTCGACTCCGGACGCATAACTTTATTTGTTATTTCCATTCATGTCTCACCAATTTCTTAAGGGAAGGGCTATTACTGGGCTACATAACTTTAAGGGAAAAAACCCAATTGAAGATCCCCTGGGCCATTCCCCCAAGCCCAATAATCACAAAATTGAATGTGTTTTTATTTTCCATTTCCATTCCTTTCATATGGGAATGGGAGTTAATTGTGTAAAGTAGATACTATTGATGAAGTTCATGTAGCTCAAGGCTTGTCTTGTTAACACACAAGATAATGAGATATGAATGGGTAAAGAAGTTGATTCATCAGTTGAATTCGAAATGTGACGCTGTGTATTGAAATTGCGTGGAAAAATACCTGTTGCAATTATATTTATAGATTGAACAAGATAGAAGGAATTGAATGATGTTACAACAGAGTAAAAGTGAAATAAAAAATGTTGAGATGAATGCCGGAGCAAGAAAAAGAAATGCACTTACTAAATACTATGGAAGTGGGATGAATGCCGGAGGAATTAGGATTATTCCTCCCACACTGAGCAGCAACTAGCAAGCACTAATATTAGCTTTAAATCAACAACAAACACGAGGACGGTCCTCAATTAGGCCAAGGGAATAAAATGAACAGCCTCGTTATTTATATTTAACTGATGGAAAGACAAAAGAATATGAACCAATCCTACATATTCGCACAAAAGAGAAACTTGTTTAGATGTCAGGATACAACTTTGAGCATCCCATCTCCATCATATGATAAGATATCAGGTATGATTATGATATAAAGGGGCTGGCACTGGCACTGCCCCCGTCCGCTCCACTCTTCCTTAGCGTTTCCCGCTCAGACATAGACACAAACATTTGGCCTGCAAAATACAAGTGAGAGGGAGGGAAGGGAGGAGAGTGTGCTCCTGATGAAGTACGTGTTGGTTACAGGAGGGGTGGTCAGTGGGCTGGGCAAAGGCGTCACCGCCAGCAGCATCGGCGTCGTCCTCAAAGCCTGCGGCCTTCGCGTCACCTCCATCAAAATCGGTTCCTTCTCTTTATTCCTTCCTTCCTTTTGCTTTTACTACTTAATCATCTATTCAATTTGATTTGATTTGATTTGATTTACTCTACCTATCTGCTGCTGCAGATCCATACTTGAACACAGATGCTGGCACCATGTCTCCCTTTGAGCATGGTGAGGTTTTTGTGCTTGACGACGGCGGAGAGGTAATCATTGACTAGTTTCTTCAATACGTATCAATCAGCGTTATCTTTATTCTTCATGCTGCTGAGTTTGTTTAATCTCTAATCGTAATTGTAGGTTGATTTGGACCTGGGCAACTATGAGCGCTTCCTAGATGTAACTCTTACTAGGGATAACAACATTACCACTGGCAAGATATATCAGGTGCTTCTAATAACAAGGGGTGTTTGTCTGTCTTCCATTTCATCACTTTTATTTTGACATTTTGTATTTTTATTGTTTCGTTCCGTGTAGTCTGTTCTTGAGAAGGAGCGGAGAGGTGATTACCTTGGCAAGACTGTTCAGGTGATGATACAAAATCACAATGTTCATAAATCCTACCTTTTCTTTTTTGCTTCACTTGCATTGAATGCTGATGACTGCCTTTCTTTTGTGATTTTGAGTCGATTTAGGTGGTTCCACACATAACTGACGCCATTAAGACATGGATTGAATCCGTTTCAGTCATTCCTGTGGATGGAAAAGAGGGCCCTGCAGATGTTTGCGTGATAGAGTTGGGAGGGACTGTCGGTAAGCAATAGTCAATACATAGAGGCATTACATGCTTCATTATTCTTTCTCTGTGTTTATGTACAAAGATAATTATTCTTCTTTCTTCTTAGGTGACATTGAATCAATGCCATTCATTGAGGCTCTGCGCCAATTGTCCTTTTCAGTTGGTAAGGTTGTGGTTTATTCTGTTCTTTTGAGGAATTTTTTTATTCTGCTTATGAGATAATTTCTGCACCCATATGTTGGCTTTCAATTGTTTATCATGTTTCTATGCTGTGTGATCAATATATATCTTCCAATGACTGCTCTAGGAATACGCAGTACGTACGGTTTAGGTTTCTGGTCTGATATGTTATGAGCAGCTTTGCAATAATAAAATTGATATAATCCAATTTTATTCCAATGTTATTGAGATTTTATGTGGTGCTTTTTTGTATTTTTGTTGGCCGGGGTATAGATGCAATGAAACAATGCTTATCCAGATTTAAAAGTAACTAACTATTTCCTTTTGGAGTTGACATGCAATTTGATCTTGAATTACATGGATGTTAAATGATAATTGCTGGTTTTGATTTAATTCTTTTGTCAGGGCAAGAGAACTTCTGTCTTATTCATGTGAGCCTGATACCAGTGCTGGGTGTTGTTGGAGAGCAAGTAAGATCCCACTACTTAATTATTGAGTGTTACGTTTCTTCATTAGTTCGTCATGCAAGCTTGTAAGTTTAGAATCAAAATTGATTATATTTTACGAAGAATTTGCTTAATTTTGTATCTTTCTTACTTTCTTTTCATGTTTGTAATTCATGCAGAAAACAAAGCCTACACAACATAGTGTGCGGGAACTAAGAGCATTAGGTTTGACTCCTCATCTATTAGCATGTCGCTCTGCAGAGGTACATCTTTTCACCTATCTATTAACCTTAGAAGCTTTTCTTTAGTTTCCATTTAAGACTTGCTTGGACACCTACATTGGTGCAGTGAGATCACCCGATTCCCCTTGTGCTTTACTCTACCATTATTTTGCCAAGGTTAATTTTTGTGCAGATATAATACTTTTTTTTTTGGTGACTGCATGGCAGCCTTTGTTGGAAAATACTAAGCAGAAACTTTCACAATTTTGTCATGTTACAGTAAGTTGTTGCTGAATAATTCTACGTGGCCTCTTTCTAAATTTCTTTAATCAAACTTCATTTTCTGATTACAAATTTTAAATTTCATTTATGCTTTTTTACAGGCTGGTAATATTCTTAATATCCACGATGTACCAAACATTTGGCACGTTCCTCTCTTACTTAGGGTGGGTTCTATAACAATTATCTGTCTCCTTGGTGGCTTCATACTTTATTTCAAAATTTTATCTAAACTATTGTTCTAAATTGTTGTTCAGAATCAAAACGCTCATCATTCAATTCTTCAACAACTAAATCTACTAAGGTATGTTCTCACCATTACTTCACATGTAAGGCTTCAACTTTTGTGCTCGATTGTTGATCAGCATCAGCTTATTTAAATTCTTCTTGTGTAATGATGCCAAGGCAATCTCTTTATAGAATACTGTCTGACTTGGATTCTTTTAGTTGATATATGTGCTCTCTCTGAATGCTGCCTAAATATAGGAAGGCAAACAGCATGAAGTTTGGCTATTTTAAGTTACCGGTGTTTAATTTTCTGTTTCAGCATTGCCATGCCTCCTGATTTAAGAGATTGGACCAAGATGGCAGAGACTTACGATAACCTCACCAATTCTGTTAGTATTATTAGATAATTGTGCAATGCTCGATCAAACATTCTCTCTTTTGGTTTTTTCATTCACCAGATGAGAATTTTATATTTGCAGGTGAGGATTGCCATGGTGGGGAAGTATGTGGGCCTTGCAGATTCTTACTTGTCCGTAGTAAAGGTGCAATGGTAGCTTCTATTCTATTATTAGGAAGGGTCATAGGATGGTGTATCTTTACTAAGACTGGAATTCATTAGTAATTTTTCATGAAAAAAATTAGTTATTGCATGTTGTAGTGCAAATATGAGTGTATGGCTCCTTGTGCAATGCATGCTTATTAGATTATATATGTTAATAAGTCACCGCCTACACATGTATTTTACCATAAATGCTTGCTGATATATAATTCTGAACAATATGGCAATCTGGACCCCAAAATATAAATACAACAACAACAAAGCCTTTTACCACTAAGTGGGGTCGGCTATATGAATCCTAGAACGCCATTGCGCTCGGTTTTGTGTCATGTCCTCCGTTAGATCCAAGTACTCAAGTCTTTTCTTAGGGCATCTTCCAAAGTTTTCCTAGGTCTTCCTCTACCCCTTCGGCCCTGAACCTCTGTCCTGTAGTCACATTTTCGAACCGGAGCGTCAGTAGGCCTTCTTTGCACATGTCCAAACCACCGGAACCGATTTTCTCTCATATTTCCTTCAATTTTGGCTACTCCTACTTTACCTCGGATATCCTTATTCCCAATCTTATCCTTTCTCGTGTGCCCATACATCCCACGAAGCATCCTCATCTCCGCTACACCCATTTTGTGTACGTGTTGATGCTTCACCGCCCAACATTCTGTGCCATACAACATCGCTGACCTTATTGCCGTCCTATAAATAAAATTTTCCCTTGAGCTTCAGTGGCCTACGACGGTCACACAACACGCCGGATGCACTCTTACACTTCATCCATCCAGCTTGTATTCTATGGTTGAGATCTCCATCTAATTCTCCGTTCTCTTGCAAGATAGATCCTAGGTAGCGAAAACGGTCACTTTTTTGTGATCTTCGCTAGATTGCTCCGGTCATTAGTGTGGATAAGTATATAAATGGATAGAGATAGGAAAGCAAACACAAGATGTACGTGGTTCACCCAGATTGGCTACGTCCACGGAATAGAGGAGTTCTCATTAATTGTGAAGGGTTTACACAAGTACATAGGTTCAAGCTCTCCTTTAGTGAGTACAAGTGAATGATTTAGTACAAATGACATTAGGAAATATTGTGGGAGAATGATCTCGTAACCACGAAACTTCTAAGTACCGGAGTGTGGTATCGTCTTGACTTGCCTTATCTGTCTCATAGGTAGATGTGGCATCTTCTCTGGAAGTACTCTTCCTCCATCCAGGGGTGGTATCTGTAACTGGTGGAGATGCACAAGGTAATGTATCAATTTCACTTGAAGCTTACTTGTAGTTTCAGGCTTGGTCAAGCGCGATACAAACCATGTAGTAGGAGTCCCCAAGTCGCCGAGCTAGGGGATCTGCTGAAAGAGGTGACAGACAAGGTAAGCAATCAGAGCTCCGGCTGATTGTTCACATTCTCCCTATCTTGCAGGCAGCATGAAGGATAAAGAGAAGAAAAATGAGAAGAGATGATATGGGATACTTTTGCTTTTTGAAGAAGTAACTTTCCACAGGCTTATTCTTGAACTGGGCTGGAGGGTTTTCTGGTTTCCTCCAGAGTATAAGGCCGACTGAAGAATTTGAGGGTCAAAACAAGTCCATCAAATCTAGAGTACGTTCGACCCTGCTGATATGGGATACTTTTGCTTTTGACAGAGTAGTGGATGTATCGGCACGTGTGCTGTTACGCTTGTCTCCACATGCTTCCTTGTATCCTTCTCACTTGCCCTATCTGTTCCTCAGGCAGATGCGGTATCTTCCCTGGAAGCATAAGATGTTGAAGATGAGTACTCGAGAGCAATGCCAGGTAAGTAATCAGGTAAGGGGTTCCAGGCAGTCAGTTCCTGGCTGGAAGCTTGATTCCAAGTGCTGACTGATTGCTCTCTTTCTCCTTGTCTTGCAGGTAAGAACAAGGCCAAAGGAAAAGACAGGGAAAAAGCATGATATGGGATACTCTTGCTTTTAACCCTGATGATATGAGATATTCTTGCTCTAGTATAGCTTGTTTACAGAGGTATTATCGGGGGGAAAGAAAGCTGAATATTTCGAAAGGCTTCGTTGGGAGTGCCCTCTCAGATAAGAGGAAGGGTTGAGCATTTTTGCAGGTCTGCCTGTCCGTTGGGGATGGAGGTCGACATATATAGGAGTCTCCCTAACATCAAGTAATAATGCTATTCCTTTACCCTGCTTGGTCATAGCACGGTAGTGGGAGCTGCCAGCTTCACATGTTTTAACTCTGTCAGAGCACTTTGAAAAAGTGGTCTGTGGTATCTGGAAAGCTGATGTTGCGTGTGAAGATTACAGACAGTTTTCGAACAAGCAATCCTGTCGGGGATCCGGCTCTCGAGATTCGGAGAACGATGCCTCTTCGATTTTTTGAGAAAGCAATCCTGCTGGGGGTCTGGCTCTCGAGATTCGGAGAGCGATGTCTTCGATTTTTGAGAAAGTAATCATGTTGGGAGTCTGGCTCTCGAGATTCGGAGGGCGGTGCCTCTTCGATTTTGGAGCAAGCAATCTTGTTGGGAGTGTTTTCTCGAATGTGAGTAAAGGTTGGGCATGTTTGCTAGTCTACCTTGCCACGAAGCACAGAGGTTGACACACAGGGACTTTCCAATTATCCAGCAGTGGTACTGTTCCTTTACCCTCTCTTCGATTTTTGAGAAAGTAATCATGTTGGGAGTCTGGCTCTCGAGATTCGGAGGGCGGTGCCTCTTCGATTTTGGAGCAAGCAATCTTGTTGGGAGTGTTTTCTCGAATGTGAGTAAAGGTTGGGCATGTTTGCTAGTCTACCTTGCCACGAAGCACAGAGGTTGACACACAGGGACTTTCCAATTATCCAGCAGTGGTACTGTTCCTTTACCCTCTCTTCGATTTTTGAGAAAGTAATCATGTTGGGAGTCTGGCTCTCGAGATTCGGAGGACGGTGCCTCTTCGATTTTGGAGCAAGCAATCTTGTTGGGAGTGTTTTCTCGAATGTGAGTAAAGGTTGGGCATGTTTGCTAGTCTACCTTGCCACGAAGCACAGAGGTTGACACACAGGGACTTTCCAATTATCCAGCAGTGGTACTGTTCCTTTACCCTTGTGGGTAATAATATGGTAGCTAGACCTTCAAAATTTATGTGTCTAAACTTTGTTAGTGTTGTTTCTTTGCTATTCTTTTACCCTTCTTGGTCAGAGCGATGTAGTGGGAGCTGCAAGCTTCACGTGCTCAACTTTGGCAGAGAACTTTGGCAAAGTTATCTGTGGTACCCATGAGCTACTTGTTGCGTGTGGGAAGTGGGTGATTGAACAGTAAGATTCATGTGCTTTCTACTTCCCAGAAATCTTCGACAGAATGCCCATAATTTCCGCAAAGCTGAGTGTGCGTGTGACAGGTGCTGACAAGGCTGGAAAAGTAGGTGCCTCTTCGATTTCTGAGATCGGCCCTCGTGGTCTCTGAGCAGCCCAGCTTTTGAGAAAGCAAGCGCCTCTTCGATTTCTGAGATCGGCCTTCGTGGTCTTTGAGCAGCCCAGCTTTTGAGAAAAGCAAACGCCTCTTCGATTTCTGAGATCGAACCCTCGTGGTCTCTGAAGCAGCCCAGCTTTTGAGAAAAGCAAACGCCTCTTCGATTTCTGAGCAGGCGCCTCTTCGATTTCTGAAGCTTCCGTCGAGTGCAGATTTTTATAGGGGCTGGCATTAAGTTCCAAAGCACACTTGAATCTCCACCAGTAGAAGCTCCATTCTTGCACTTCTAAGATCTTGATTTGTCCGACCTCTTCTCTCTTCAACACCTTTGAAAATGTCTGGCCCCTCCGACCGTCGTTTTGACTTGAACCTTGTTGAAGAGGCAGCCCCGCCTTCTCCAGACAACATATGGCGCCCATCCTTCGTCTCCCCTACTGGTCCTCTTACCGTTGGGGATTCCGTGATGAAGAATGATATGACCGCTGCGGTGGTGGCCAGGAACCTTCTCACTCCCAAAGATAACAGACTACTTTCCAAACGGTCTGATGAGTTAGGCTGTTAAGGATTCGCTCTGGCTCTCAGTGTTCAGTGTGCAGGTTCTGTGTCTAATATGGCCCAACGCCTATTTGCTCGAACCCGCCAAGTTGAATCATTGGCGGCTGAAGTGATGAGTCTCAAACAGGAGATTAGAGGGCTCAAGCATGAGAATAAACAGTTGCACCGGCTCGCACATGACTATGCTACAAACATGAAGAGGAAGCTTGACCAGATGAAGGAATCTGATGGTCAGGTTTTACTTGATCATCAGAGATTTGTGGGTTTGTTCCAAAGGCATTTATTGCCTTCGTCTTCTGGGGCTGTACCGCGTAATGAAGCTCCAAATGATCAACCTCTGATGCCTCCTCCTTCTAGGGTTCTGTCCAGTACTGAGGCTCCGAATGATCCCCCTCCGGTGCCTTCTCTTTCTGGGGCTCTACCGACTGCTGAGACTTCTCCTAAGCAACCTTTGTGAAGGCTCCCTCTTGTTTGTTTATTTTGACTCATGTATATGTACATATTTGTAGCTTATCGGGGATATCAATAAATAAGCTTTCCTTCATTTCAACGTATTGTGTTAAATACACCAAAGCCTTCTTCGCTAAGTTCTTTGAATTTTCTTTTGTTGAAGCTTGTATGTTGAAGCTTTCTGAGTGGAGCATGTAGGTTGAGGTAGTGTTCCCTTAATTTCCCGAGTGAGGAAAACTTCTCGGTTGGAGACTTGGAAAATCCAAGTCACTGAGTGGGATCGGCTATATGAATCTTAGAACGCCATTGTGCTCGATCCTGTGTCATGTCCTCCGTTAGATCCAAGTACTCTAAGTCTTTTCTTAGAGTCTCTTCCAAAGTTTTCCTAGGTCTTCCTCTACCCCTTCGGCCCTGAACCTCTGTCCCATAGTCGCATCTTCTAATCGGAGCGTCAGTAGGCCTTCTTTGCACATGTCCAAACCACCGTAACCGATTTTCTCTCATCTTTCCTTCAATTTCGGCTACTCCTACTTTACCCCGGATATCCTCATTCCTAATCTTATCCTTTCTCGTGTGCCCACACATCCAACGAAGCATCCTCATCTCCGCTACACCCATTTTGTGTACGTGTTGATGCTTCACCGCCCAACATTCTGTGCCATACAGCATCGCCGGCCTTATTGCCGTCCTATAAAATTTTCCCTTGAGCTTCAGTGGCATACGGCGGTCACACAACACGCCGGATGCACTCTTCCACTTCATCCATCCAGCTTGTATTCTATGGTTGAGATCTCCATCTAATTCTCCGTTCTTTTGCAAGATAGATCCTAGGTAACGAAAACGGTCGCTCTTTGGTATTTCTTGATCTCCGATCCTCACCCCTAACTCGTTTTGGCCTCCATTTGCACTGAACTTGCACTCCATATATTCTGTCTTTGATCGGCTTAGGCGAAGACCTTTAGATTCCAACACTTCTCTCCAAAGGTTAAGCTTTGCATTTACCCCTTCCTGAGTTTCATCTATCAACACTATATCGTCTGCGAAAAGCATACACCAAGGAATATCATCTTGAATATGTCCTGTTAACTCATCCATTACCAACGCAAAAAGGTAAGGACTTAAGGATGAGCCTTGATGTAATCCTACAGTTATGGGAAAGCTTTCGGTTTGTCCTTCATGAGTTCTTACGGCAGTCTTTGCTCCTTCATACATATCCTTTATAGCTTGGATATATGCTACTCGTACTCCTTTCTTCTCTAAAATCCTCCAAAGAATGTCTCTTGGGACCCTATCATACGCTTTTTCCAAATCTATAAAGACCATGTGTAAATCCTTTTTCCCATCTCTATATCTTTCCATCAATCTTCGTAAGAGATAGATTGCCTCCATGGTTGAGCGCCCTGGCATGAACCCGAATTGGTTGTCCGAAACCCGTGTCTCTTGCCTCAATCTATGCTCAATGACTCTCTCCCAGAGCTTCATTGTATGACTCATTAGCTTAATACCCCTATAGTTCATGCAATTTTGTACGTCGCCCTTATTCTTGTAGATAGGCACCAAAGTGCTCGTTCGCCACTCATTTGGCATCTTCTTCGTTTTCAAAATCCTATTGAAAAGGTCAGTGAGCCATGTTATACCTGTCTCTCCCAAAACTTTCCACACTTCGATTGGTATATCGTCTGGGCCTACTTGCTTTTCTATGCTTCATCTTCTTCAAAGCTACAACCACTTCTTCCTTCCGGATTCGACGATAAAAAGAGTAGTTTCTACACTCTTCTGAGTTACTCAACTCCCCTAAAGAAGCACTCCTTTCATGTCCTTCATTGAAAAGATTATGAAAATAACCTCTCCATCTGTCTTTAACCGCGTTCTCTGTAGCAAGAACCTTTCCATCCTCATCCTTGATGCACCTCACTTGGTTTAGGTCCCTTGTCTTCTTTTCCCTTGCTCTAGCTAGTTTATAGATATCCAACTCTCTCTTCTTTGGTATCTAGTCGCTTTATACATATCGTCATAAGCCGCTAACTTAGCTTCTCTGACAGCTTTCTTCGCCTCTTGCTTCGCTTTTCTATACCTTTCACCATTTTCATCGGTCCTATCCTTGTATAAGGCTTTACAACATTCCTTCTTAGCCTTCACCTTTGTTTGTACCTCCTCATTCCACCACCAAGATTCCTTTTGGTGTGGGGCAAAGCCCTTGGACTCTCCTAATACCTCTTTTGCTACTTTTCGGATACAACTAGCCATGGAATCCCACATTTGGCTAGCTTCCCCCTCTCTATCCCACACACACTTGGGTGATTACTTTCTCTTTGAAAATGACTTGTTTTTCTTCTTTTAGATTCCACCATCTAGTCCTTGGGCACTTCCAAGTCTTGTTCTTTTGTCTCACTCTTTTGATATGTACATCCATCACCAACAAGCGATGTTGATTAGCCACGCTCTCTCCTGGTATAACTTTGCAATCCTTACAAGTTATACGATCCCCTTTCCTCATTAGAAGAAAATCTATTTGTGTTTTTTTGACGACCCACTCTTGTAGGTGATCACATGTTCTTCTCTCTTCTTAAAGAAGGTGTTGGCTAAGAAGAGATCATATGCCATTGCAAAATCCAAGATAGCTTCCCCATCCTCGTTTCTCTCCCCAAAACCATGGCCACCATGAAAACCTCCATAGTTGCCTGTCTCCCTGCCCACGTGTCCATTTAAATCTCCTCCTATAAATAACTTCTCCGTCTGAGCAATTCCTTGCACCAAGTCTCCAAGGTCTTCCCAAAATTTCTCCTTCGAACTCGTATCCAACCCTACTTGAGGTGCGTACGCACTAATCACATTGATAAGTTCTTGTCCTATTACAATCTTGATTGCCATGATTCTATCTCCTACCCTCTTGACATCTACAACATCTTGTGTCCAAGGTCTTGTCCACGATGATGCCAACACCGTTTCTCGTTCTATTTGTGTGCCCGAATACCAAAGTTTAAACCCTGAGTTTTCTAGATCCTTTGCCTTACTACCAACCCACTTAGTTTCTTGTAGGCACATAATATTTATCCTTCTCCTCACCATAACTTCCACTACTTCCATAGATTTTCCCGTCAAGGTTCCTATATTCCACGTTCCTAAACGCATTTTGCTCTCTTGAACTCTACCCTTCTGTCCTAGCTTCTTCACCCTTCCCGTCTAATAGGATCAAAGTACTTCTTTTGTGTGTCCCGTGTAAAGTTGATAGGAGCATATGCTCCCAAACAACTTTGAGTGGAGTCGTTCGAAAAGAAGTTTCTATAGCCCCCTTGCTCATTTAACACTGCATCCGGGTGCCGATGGAGATACAGCGACCCTTGCTCACTTATCACTGTGCTCGGGCCACACTGAACCCCAAAATATAAATATTTTGCTAAATTTGTCTCACAGGCCCTTCTGCATGCTTGTGTTGTTGCTTGTTCTTTAAAGCCATCAATTGACTGGATTGCTGCTTCTGACCTTGAAGATGATAGTGCCAAACTGGTATTGAACAATTACACTCCTCTTTTTGCAGAATTTGGTTTTACGTCTATTATTTTGTCTTTTCTTAAGATTTGTTTTTCATACAGATACCAGAAGCACATGCTGCTGCATGGGGGACCCTGAAGGTATTCTTTAAGCTAAATTATCGTCTCCTAGCCTGTTGTACAGTTTATGCTTTGATCTATTCTATATTTGCAGAATGCAGCATGTGTCTTGGTTCCTGGTGGATTTGGAGATCGTGGTGTGAGAGGTATGATATTAGCTGCAAAGTATGCCAGAGAGAACAATGTTCCTTATCTCGGGATTTGTTTGGGCATGCAGATTTCAGTGATTGAATTTGCGAGATCTGTAAGCAACGTTTGCTTAACTAACAGGTTTTATTCTTTATTTAAGATCATGTATCATCCCTACTTTAATTACTTGTTTTAGGTTTTGGGTTTAGAAAGGGCAGACAGCACAGAGTTTAATGCACAGACACCGAATCCTGTTGTAATTTTTATGCCTGAGGTACAAATTTATGGTGATGTTTACCTCTTTAATTTTAAAATAAGTATGGCTTCAACCTTCGCCCCATGATGGTTAATTTTTTTGTATGAGTAAAGGGATCAAGAACACACATGGGAAGCACAATGAGACTGGGATCCAGAAGAACACTTTTCCAAGCTCCTGATTGCACTACTTCAAAGCTGTATGTGCAATATCTATAACTGTGTTCAATGTAGAAATCATAGAATAGCCAGCCGGTTACTACAAAATGAAATTATAACTTCAGGTACCTCTGCTGAATTTATACAGTAAAATCAATGCATGTGCCATGTGTTCCAACTTCCAAGTCTGTCGGTCTGAAAAGGACACATGGCACAAGCTATAGAACTTTATTGCATTTATACTGTAAAATTTTGAACTTTCTTGGTCAACGAACTATTTTGCATGCGGCCTTTGATGACCTCTCTGCTATGTGTTGCGTCTGCGGTTGCTTTTGTCAAAACAAATCCCACAAGACCACTTTAAAGTTCTCCATGTTTAAGAGTATAGGGTACATGCCTGATGTGTTATTGCTATCAATTGCTAGGTACCATAACTCAGAGTATGTGGATGAACGCCACAGGCACAGATATGAGGTTTGTTGTAAATTTATTTAGGTGAAAAACATGATGTTTCAGAAGCATGTTTTACGTAGTGTACATGGTCTTATTTCATCATGATGCAGGTGAACCCAGATGTTATTGGAGTTCTTGAAGAAGCTGGCCTGAAATTTGTAGGGAAGGATAACAGTGGGAGACGAATGGAGGTGGGTTTTCTGTTGAGTTTGATGCTTTGTTGAACTTGAGCATTGTCAGAATTTATTTGGTTATTATTGCAAAAATTCCTTTCTTATCATTACTTTGAAGATTTATTTTTTACATGATTTGTGTTTGTTCTGGTGTTTTTCTCTTCTGCAGATTTTAGAGCTTCCAAGTCATCCATTCTATGTAGGAGTGCAATTTCATCCAGAATTTAAATCACGGCCTGGGAGGCCCTCTCCTCTATTTTTAGGTACTTTGACACACAAGTGAACCATAGATGTCATAGACTCACATTTACCGTTCTTTCTTGGAAACATGTGTACACTATGACATCCATCATGGAATTACCATGTAGCGCAGATCTATCTTACTCAAAGTGGAGAGATTATTGGACATGTTTGTGTCGGAATAGACTTGTCTATTACAATTCTCATTTTTATTCGGTTGATTTCTACCCAGTCCTTGGATCTCTGAACTTGAGTTGACATATGTGACGTTGCAACTGTAGGTCTTATCTTGGCAGCAACAGGACAGTTGGAAACATATCTTGACCAGAATCAAAATTCTAGTTTGACAGCATTGGATCTCTCTCAATAGTTCCAGATCATTAGTTCAAGGTAGGTTTGTAATTTGAATGTGAGAGGTCCCATAGAAGAAGAATTGGACTTGCGTTGTAGCTGTTTGTGCATTGTTCCCCCTGGCTCTTCTGAATGTGGGTGAGAAAGGGGGATGGGAATGGGTTGGATCGTCTCAAGACTCACGACATTCTGTGCTCCGTATGCATAAATAGGTGCATCTTAGGTGTCAGTTAAGTGATTATGTTGAACAGTGTCTGTCTGGTTTGGGACAGGGTTGGATTACAGTATGACCAAGGAGGGAAGGGGTGTCTATTTCATCTGGGAAGAGACAGATATGTTTCTCTTCATCTATACAAAATGGTAGACAGTATTCCCTTGATGGTTATGAGAATGGGCATGGATGCCTATTGATGGTTCTTAGTGTAGTAAAAAACTAATGCATTGTCTTTTTTTTGTTACAATGGCAGATAAACGTATGGAAGTTTATGAAAGTAGATCCTGATTGTGGAGCAAGGGTGTTGATGCAGTTGGACAATTTATCAGGTTGCTGATCGATCAGTTGAAAGCAGATACAAATTCTAGGTCATTAGAAGGATTCATTTAGTAGATTGTTCAAACATATCGGGAATTTGAATGATATTGTTGTTTGGCGATATTAATTACTTGTTGGCATTCAAGAGTTTCCATATTCGGAATGAATACTTTTGAAACTTTTCGAATTTTGTCCTCATCATTTATTAGCACTTAAAAATGCCGACATTTTTTAAATTCAGTTGTAAGCTGCTGCTTGTATGTGTGAGATGATTGTAGTTACATACAATGTAATGGGAAGCCTAAGCCTACAGTATCTACAAAATATGCCGCAATGCTATGCCTCTTCTTTTACAAAATAAATACAATGTAGCTCAGTACAGTAAAGTAGACTAGTGGAGCGGAATTGAACCCAAAAACAAAAAAACAAAAGCAAAAGAAGGCCGCAATGCGATGGCTGTCCTGCGTGTTACTGTTTTGGTCGTCTGTCTGTCTGTCTGTCTTGTCCCTGGATCTGGAATTGCGGAATTGCGGAATTCTGGAGGAATTGTGGAATGTGGATGGACCATGTGAATGATATTGTGATTAATTTAACATGTGAGGTTCTGAGTGTTGTGTCGGTATGAAATCTGTCTTTGGAGCTTCATTTGCTGGTAGAACTTAGCTATGAACTCATCTGCCTTTATGTCAACCGATTCCTCTAACTCCTCGTAAATATTGTTTTTATAAGCTGTGGCAGGAGAAAGAGTAACCCTTTCTTCCTCATCATCCTGAATAATATCACGGCCATCATCCTTCTCATCACATTTGATAAGAAAGCTCTGTCTTGCAGTACTAGCATCATCCTCATCATCATCGTCATAGTAGCAGTAGCGGCAATCGTTTGATTGATATCCGTGGTTATTGATGATCATGTCGACTTGATCATCATCAAAATAATCAAGTACTAATGGTGCGTTTAGGCAAGGGATGTTGTTGATGAAGCACATGGAGGAGGAGCGGGAGCAGCTGGTTTTGGTTTTGAGGGTGGGGAAAATTGGGGTCTTGTCGAACGACAGCTGCCGCTCGAAGTAATACTGATGCTGCTTCTGCTGCTGCATGTGCATAAGCAAGTGGGCGAAGCTACTCTTGAGCAACTGGGGGACGATGCGCAGTTTCATCATGAGGCGTCGCCTGAAAACACCGCCCTTTCTTGCCCAAAGCAATGCCAGACGCAGCAGCTTCCACGCTCTATGTGTTGGTCTTGGTCGACCGACGTCATCATCATTACCATTTGATGATTTCTTCTTCGACATCTTCATCAATGTCATCGTCGTCTTCAGTTCAGTCTTGAGCAATTGATTAGCTGGTGGAAGCAGAGTAGAGGTGCTACTAACGTAGGTAGATTCAAAATGTGGCCTGGTAGTGGTAGTGGTAGACCAGAAAGAGAGAAAGTGACAAATTGATCACAAAAAATTGGCTAATAAATTACAGTTTGATGAGAGCGAGCTGAAAATTTTCTATGATGCGGTGAGTGGTGATTGGTGTTGTCTTGGAAGGCTCGTATATATACATATGGGAACTCACAGGAGGAGGTAGCCATTTATACAATACATGATTAGTAATATATATTATATAAATAAATAGATATATGAGAGGAATCTTTGTATTTTACGCGGTGGTTGCTAATGATGTGTGTGATTTGCTTAGAGGAGATTAGTGTGGAAGGTGGGAACTCGATTGTTGTAGGGGACACGGTTGTTATACGCGGGAGGAAGCAAGCTCGAACCTCCCCTTCCGCTTCATTCATCGGTTTCCAATTTTCAAATACAATATTACTTCAGCTCTCTTACATGACCACGTTGTACTATAAGGACGCGTTTGTTTGACCTTGTTAAGTTTCACTGGACTGACTAGGATTACTAGTCAGTGTAATCCCATGTTTGTTTCTTGCATGGATTAATTTAATTGAGACTAGCAGGGACTCGCTCCGACTATGTGCTTTAGCTAAAGACCCCAAAATCAGGCGGACTGCTAAGACCTTCGCCCCTCCCATCTATGTCTTCTTCTTCGCTTCACCCCTCCCCCCGCACTTCGCTCCACATCGACAGAGACTCCACGGTTGGATCGATATCGCGGCTCCTGTGGCCTCGTCTCGCTGGATCTGGGTTCGCCGACTGCCTCAACGTGCTGAATATGGGATCAATTTTCTTTTTGGAATTGCCCTTCTTTATGTGTTTTGTTGATTGAATTGTTGTGGGTTAGTTTTGGATTGTGTTATTTGGGGATTTTGGCATCTAGGTTGGTGAAGTTTTGTGGGTTTTTCTACTTGGGTTTTGGCAGTTGAGGCTCAGACTTTCAGAAATTTTGGATGGGTTTTTGGAACAGATGGGGGATATGCCTTGCAATTCGATGGGTTTGGAACATATGGGTTTTGGAACAGATGGGGTCGAAGTTGCAGAGTACCTGCAATTCGAGAAGAAGAAGAGGGATATGCCCTTTTTTTATTCATATATTAATTTAAAATATAATAATAATTTTTAGTTAGTCCATCTTCTTAGTTCGACACTGCACCAAACGCTTCACTAAACTAGTCCAGCTTAGTCTATTCTAAGCCAGTCCAACTTAGTCTCTGAAGCTAGTCCAGTCTGAGATAGTCCGGTGCAACAAACGCACCCTAAACGTTATAACTTGAGTTGTTCATTTTTTTTTAGAGATAATCTTTAGATGACGATAAAGAGAAAATAAATGATTTAGATTATGATATCTCGTAAAGTAAAATGATATAACCTCATCATGTATAGAGAAAGTAAGGAAGATTGACTTCTGATATGTAAGAAGTCAAACTGTGTCTAAATATTTATAGGGTAAATTACACTTTCATACCTCAGGTTTGGGGTCTATTTCAATTCCTTACAACATCTCCAAAACATTTCACTTTCATACCTTAAGTACTATTTTATTTCAAAATAATAGATCCGTTACATTTTCCATCCATTGATCCGTTAAATGCTAACGTGGCTGCTACGTGGCAAATAAAATAATTTTTTTAAAAAACCTGAATTTTCTCAAAAAAAAAAAAAAAAAAAAAAAATTTGAAACCAGTGCCTTCCCCCGCGCCCCCCCCCCCCCCCGGTGACCCTAACCCAAAACCCAAAAACCTGCAAGAAGAGGGAGAAAAGAAAAAAAAAGCCCCAATTCGTCCCACCCGAGCCACCCCTTTCTCCCATCCCCCATCACCCCTCCCAAAAAATCCCCCATCCCCCATCCCCAAAAATTTCACCCGAGATTAGGTGGATCTACCACAAAACCAGTCTAAAATCATCTCAAACTCAAGGTATTTTCAAAACCCACCCATACTATCTTGACCCGTGGTGGGCGGGGAAGGGGGGGAAGGGGGTAAGGTACGCGCTGGGGGGGGGGGGGACGAATTGGGTTTGAGGTTTTTTTTCCCTTCTTCTTCTTTATGCTGCTGCTGCAGGTTTTTTTTTTTTTTCTTCTTCTTCTTCTTCTTCTTCTTCTTCTTCTTACTGCTGCTACAGGTTTTTTGGATTCTGGGTTAGGGATAGGGATGTGGGTCGCTGGGGGGGGGGGGGGAGGGATAGTGGGTTTAATTTTTATTTTTGTTTGAGAAAATTCAGGTTTAAAAAAAATATTTTATTTGCCACGTGACATATATGTGGCAGACACGTCAGCATTTAACAGATCAATGGATGGAAAATGTAACGGATGTATTATTTTGAAACAAAATAGTACTTAAGGTATGAAAGTGAAATGTTTTGAAAATATTGTAAGGAATTAAAATAGCCCTCAAACCTGAGGTATAAAAATGTAATTTACCCATATTTATATAACCCGTCATTCCTTTCCCTACACTACTTTTTTTGTTTTGTTTCTTGCTATACTACTATTTTGTTATTGTTAATCTGTACGCCACCAAATACGGGAAATTAATATCTACACCAAGTACATAAACTTGTAAGAAATTATGCACCCGGTTTGACCCTTAATGCGTTATAACTTGCAAGTCAACAATATTATTAACTAAGGCTTATGATAGGCAAGAAACTTCTACTTTTCAACAAAACTATTAAGTTAGATCTGAGGGACAATATATATTTGTTCTAGCTGTTGCCATATAGTATATAACTCATATTTAATGATGGGTTTCGACGAAATATATATGTAATTGATGATACTAAGCGACTCGCGGGGCAGCCATTTGAATTTTGAATAGGTCAATGCCAATTATTTGAGCAACAAATACATAAAGTTATAAACTAGCACAATCAACGCAGCTTTTGATTAGTTGGATTTTGCTGGATCTTACCTGACATACCACCGTTTCCTTGTTTGTTTCCTTAGAAGAGGATGATCTCTGGATTTATTTTGTTGGGATCCTAGGGATCTCTATATTTTAGCCGTTCATCGTATATCGAACGATCAGTTTTTATCAGGTACTATTTGTGTTTAATTTTAAATAAAAAATCAAATAATTTCTAACCGCACGATACACGATGAATGACTATGAATCAAGAATCCCTATGATCCTCACAATTTGGATCCGGATGGGATCCAATTCCTGTTACCTTCCTTCCATGCAAATGCACCGCAATTAATATGTTATTCCTACTGGAATCAACCAAGAGAACCCAGTGGCCTCACAATGAAGCTCACTCTGTCATCTGTGGTTGCCCATGGGCCATATCGCTTATATTCGCCCAAGCCGTGTTCTAAGTTCTAACATATGTATATACACATAAATTTCATTTCAGATTTATATTGTAGATTTTAATTAATTAAGGGTGTTTTAGATTTAGCCCCTTACAATTGTTGAACTCTAGACATAAACTCACGAATATTAAAACATCTAAATAAAACCCAAATTTTGAATTTGATGCCATGTAAGATAAAAGATGTCCATATATTTAAATTTATTTACAACACCATGCCACCAACATTAATATGGCTATTATTGACACACCCCGACCAAGGTCAAGGCATGCTGGCCGTCACGTGAGAGTGACGTAACCATGTGCACAGTGCGGAAGCGATAAAGATAGCAAAAATACGAATAATTAAAAACCACATTAATAGAGTGCACTACTAAACAGAAAGTGATAGGAGTTAGTTACAACAGTAAACACTCATAATTCAGAGCATAAAGTCTAGGTGCAGTCCAGTAGGACAAGTACTAGTTACACAGTACCAAGAATGTCCTACTATTAATCAAATAGGTCAGAACTGCCGACAATCCCGAGTCATCAACAACAAGCTTACTAAGAACCTGGAGGGGCGCAAAACAGAAAACGTGAGTGGGCAAAAACAAATGTTTTACAAAATCATTTCATTTATCAACATAACTAACCTCTCGCTGTAAAACATGTATAATTTTCCCAGAATCAAGATATAAGCATATACGTATATATATCTGAAATCATATCAATTCAGTTCATGCTTCACATAATCATACTCATATGTATGCCATACCAAAATATAACAAAGTAAACAATTTAGGTAAGAATGATTTCATGGAAATATGATATGTTAGCCGGAATTCCTGTGGTAGTCTGTACGACCGAATTCATAGCTCAAACTCAATCTAGCCGGAGTCACTACTATGACTTATACGACAATATACTGCACATAAGTCGTAACCACTAAAAAGGGTCTGTACGACAAGATTGGGTGTAATATAATTATGCTCAATTTTACTCTCTCAATGCTAGCTGTGCGATAATACGTTAGTCACCTACGAGTCGGAATCACCTATAGTGGTCTGTACGACAAGACTGTGCACCTATTTGGATCCAATGTGAGTATATGGTGCGGGAGGTGACATAATATACAGGCCTGTGCTAGCTTTCTCTGGTTAAATCGCAATCACCCGGGTGCAGGTTATGAGCTCAATGTTCATCAATGCATTTATAATCATTCCATTCACAACTAAGGCCTCTGTCTCAATTAATGTATGACTGCATCTAACGTTTCGTTAGACTGCTTACGTACCCTGAATAAGGATCAAGTCATTCGTAGTTCACATACTCAAACATAACTTACCTGAACTTACCTGTGCCTCCACAACACCACATTTATATATATATGCAACCACTAAAAGCATAACAAAAATATAAAGGCATTTGGCATGGAAATTCAAGGCATACTTTCATTTAAATGCATTTTTTAGAAATATATCAAGTATATAAATATATACTGAAAACCAAAAGCCCACTCACTGATATGTCGAAGGGTCGTAGCCCCCAAGTCGCCCGTGGATACACTCGTCCTCAGGATAAGTCTCACCTATATGCGAATTAACTATAAAAACATTATTTTAAAGCATATAGGCAAAACTAGCTAATAACTTCTCATACATTGCTCAAAATGGGTATATGAATGTACCACAGTGATCTACACAACCTCAGGATCATCCCCATATTTTTAGAAATATTTTTGGACCTCCCACGCACCGCCACGCGCTGGCGGGTGCACGGCAAGATGCTCCACCACGTGCAGGGAATCTGGCAGGGAATCCTACGGATTCCCTGACTGCCGTTATGAATATTCCTCAGAATATTCCGTTAAAATCCAATGGAATC